CAACTAGTTGAAAACGTTCGATTATTAAGAAGTGTCTGATCCCAGCGATATTGTGCATCTGTTAGGTATAATATCTACACACATTGATTTATTTTTTATAGTTTGAAATATGCAACTGTGGAGTTTTACGAAACGTCGTAGTTAAATGGATATACCTATAGTCGGGACTGGATTTCATTACATTATTTTGAATAATCCTTGCTCACTTTTTATCTGTTAAATATGTGCATGGATGGTTTTTTTCTATTGTCGCATTCACCCATGTAGCCAACATGGACTGATATACTATCATTCAGCGCCAACATTGGCCCACCCCGGCCAATGCGCATTGGTGTAGATTTAGCTCATTGGTGTTGGCTTACCTTTGTACAATATGTGAATGCAACATAAAAGGGACTAATTTGTCGCGCTTTCGTTTTGGCTTCTACTAGTACAACAGGTTACTCCACGGTTATGCAATTATGTGCATTTTATTCAGTCTATTAAAAATCTGTGTTAATTAAGTCGACTCTCACATGCAATTGCATTGATCAATTTTTAATAATCCTACTTCATAAATATGGCCATAGATTTGGGAATAAACCGAAAATAATCTAAATGGTGGCAGAACTTAGCTAACTTCGACTTTGGATGTAGTCATTCCATTTATGGCATGTCAATTATATGTTTGCTGTTTTTATTTTTTCATTCTGAAGCAGCCGCGAAGGCGGAATGTAAGTACTGAGACTTGTAAAACGGTAAAGTTGATCGATTTTTGAACTGCCTAAGCTGAGTAAATTGGATAATAGTTAGATTTCATTCTGTTAGAAGGCAACAACCATAATTTTCAATTGGTTCTTGAGGTATAACAGTTAAACGCATGCTTCCTCCATTAACTAATAAGTCTACTAATGCAATTAGACAAAAGGTAATAACTCATATCATCTAATTCAATTTTATATTTCCATTTCGTCAACCGTGTAATTAACTCCCCCAATTTATTACGAATTCTTAATGATAGACGTTTTTCCTTATAGCACTACAGAAAGTGGGTTGCCCAAAAATAATTATCAAATTTCACGGAAACCCGTATAAATATGACTAACACTACCGGAGCGTGTTCACCATTATCTATAACACAACCTATTATATTCATTTCTTTCCAAAGCGATATGGTTAACTATTTATAGTATGTTGTAGTATTGGTGGTTAAAATATAGGTACCGCAAATGTTGCTATAAGTAGTAGTGATGCACTTAACGGTGAAAATTGATAGAGTTTAATTTGAAGGTGACGTCATCAAGTTTTTTTCCTGTCAGCACGAAGCATAGCTACGGGAATTATGTAAACTTTGGTACGGAGCATCCGTTTCATAATTTGATATGGAGAAATAGTAACATGCAATTTGATGTAATTTAGTTTGCCAGGCTGAGTGGTTATAATTATTGAACATTATTTTATTGATTTATTTGTGAGAAATGTATCAAAATATTAGTGGTGGAAAATTGGCGTTATGTATCCAGGCTCCTTTGCGATACTGAGCAGACGTGCTATATTTGTAGGAAAGGAATATCTTCACCAAAACAGTGGAAGTTCGGTCGAAATATTTGAAACTTCAAACTTTAAATACACAGACTTTGATTACTCAAGACATAGTGGAATTATGCAACACCTGAAACTTATCCTGTGATTTTTACTGCACGGCTATCTACATAGTGGAATACTTATATTTCTTGTTGCATCAATATTGGAAATCGATCTCTGCAATGATGATCGACTGAATTTACATCTAAGTGCGATGGTTTTCAACAGTTTGGACTTTAATAGTTTGAAAAGACACTTTGGACTAATATCTAGACGTAGGTACCTGTCACAGTATTGTGACAAAGTTTCATATATAGGGTGTCTTCGAAGTTGAGTCATTTATTTTAACAGTGAGTAGATCTGATCAAAGGAAATGTTTTTTTCCTTTACCATTTTTCTGGTAAAATTAAAGTAACAAAGTTATAGCCCTTTGGAAGTTTGAGTACCGCCCTGTCTCAATAATAATATCATGTGCTCGTGTTTGGCAACAACGGATATAATCCGCCTTATCGGTTCATCGCATCGGAAACAAAAAAGCGAAAGAATTTGGAACGATGTTTTTACAATTATTTTATTCAGTTCAGTTATACATACAGTTAGTGTCAGTCGGTAACGCGTGTGAATAGTGTCTGTTGCGTGGCTCAAACGAAATAAAAAATGGCACATGTTTATGCGGATCGGTTTCCCAATCGAGTGCAACCAACCCCTCGTGCCTTTGTTAATGTAGTACAACGGGCTCGTGAATCAGGTGACTTAAGACGTCACAGGGGACCTCACGATCAAATACAGGTCCGCACTGAAATACTTGTCGTTAGGATACTTTATAAAACAAGGTAAACATTTTTTTTTAATTTTTTTTTATTTTTACACACATATTTTGGTTTATCTTCCTTCTACAATCATTATCTGAAAATTAATGACTCAACTTCAAAGTCACCCTGTATAACCTGGCGAATTTTAGTCCGTTAACATTATATAATGATCATTTTCTGGGACATGGGATTCCAAATTAATAAGATCGTTAACCATATCACATTATTGAAAAAGGTTGTGATGCGACTCAGCGGGGTCCTACTGTCTCATCTTCACATCCCCTACATAGTGATGTGTCACCCGTGTTATAGAACAGCTGCTTCCTTTTTCCGCAGAGTAATCTTCAAAAGATTCGTCAACCAAAGAGCTGCATGGCACATCAGCGGAATCTCCGGACACCAGCAGAGCTCCAAGGTCATATTAAAGACCTCAAGGTGCGTAAAGCACCTGGAGGGGATTGAATCACTAACAAGGCGCTGAAGCTACTTTCGCGGAAGTCCTTAACTTATCTCGTGGCAATAATCAATGCCATGCTAAGGACCCAGCACTTCCAAACGGCGTGGAAGACCGCTGATGTCATAATGATTCCAAACAAGGTGGGTTCGATATTCCCCTAGGCTTACCGCCCCATTAGTCTACTGTCAGTTCCTTCTAAGCTCGCTGAAAAGGTGATTCTGCGTCACCTTGAAAATTTCTCGGCAGACCACAATGTGATTCCTGACGTGCAATTTGGCTTTCGGTCTGAGCATAGTACGGAGCTACGGGCCATAAGGCTTGTTGAACGAGTAACCAGGGGGTTCACTCGTAACGAAAGTACTGGCATCTTGCTTCTGGATGTCTCAAAGGCATTTGACAAGGTGTGGCACAAGGGCCTTCTGGCTCCTAAAACTTTTGAAATCCTTCCTCAAGGGTAGGAAATTTCGTTCTGTCGATAACACGGCTCATCAAAGCCGGTGTCCCTCAGGGTTCGGTTCTTTTACCAGTCCTTTATTCACTTTTCATTCACGACGTCCCTTGCCCCAGCAACTGTGAAATCTATCTCTATGCTGATGACACAGCCCCGGTGGCCCATTCGTGTTCTAGGGATCTAGTTGACGACAGGCTGCAAAGTGCAGTGGACGAGGTATTGGAATGGGCAAATCGGTGGCTGATCAAAATTAATCATTCGAAAACGCAGGCAATCTATTGTACTAAACAACGTAGCGGCGCCCCGTCTGAGGTTTCAGTGAATGTAGGTCGGGTACCATGGGAAAGCTATGCTAAGTATCTCCTGTCACTCTTGACAAAGGAATGACCTGGCAGAAGCACACTGAAGCGTTAAAAACTAAATTCCAAATCTCGTTTCAGCAACTCTACCCTATGCTATATGGAACATCAAAATTAAGTTTGATCAACAAAGTTCAGCTATACAAGATGGTTATTAGACCAGCGATCACTTACGCAAGTGCGGCTTGGTGTTTTCTCGGAAAAACGCATTTGCGTAGCCTGCAGGTTTTGTAGAACAGAACCTTGTGTACAATCACTAACGCCCCATGATATGTTTCCAAAGAGACCGTTCACATAGACCTTGACATCCCTTACCTAAGGGACTATATCAAACAACAAGCGCAGCTACGTTATAGTCAAGCGGAATCGCATAACAACCCTTTGTTGCGCGAGTCAGTAGACTAGACAGTCCCCACAATCCCAAAATTAATTTTAGGATCAATTTAAAATTGCTGAATACTAATTAGCAATGCCAATGCACCCCTCAAATTCACGCACTTCTTTTTTCTTTGCTCTCCCTCCTTCCTTTCTTTCTTCTTCCCTTCTTTCTCCCTGACTTTGTTTGGTATCTGAGCAACCAGACCTGTCAGACCTACTGACTTACAAGGCTTCAACCAAGAGCAAAGGTCTTATGGACCGCTCTGACAGACAATCACGAATAGAACAGCTGCTTCCTTAGTTGACAGTGTCCAGTTGCAATGCCAGTTGCAAACCGAGATTATTTTCTGAACATAGGTAGCTTTATTGCTACTTTCTCACTAGGATTCCTTTGGTATTCTTAGCGAATGAGTAGCCCGATGTATCATCCCACAAGTTCTTGAAAATTGGAGACTTCGAGAAGCACTAGACCCAGCACTCTGGTTTCGGTAGCCCTTTTTGTCAGTCTATCAGCTGTAATATTACCCTTGAACTATGAATGATCCTTTACCCAGGCAACAGTTGCATTATTACTGGTGGGGCTTACAGCACTTGAGAGTCAGTATTGCTTGTTTGGTGTCCGTGCAAATCCGAATATTTTTCTAACAAAAAAGTCGGTACTCTAGCTATAATAGTGGAGGAGGCACGTGTTGTCAAAGTTGAGGGTTTTTGTCATAAGTAATATAAGGGCATCTGATTTTTTTGATAAAAAAACGAAAAAGCACTTTGTAATTAAAAAATGCGCCTTTGCGATTGGTAGAAATTCAGACGAGGGAAATAGTTAATATATAATAATATAATAATTTGAAAATAAAACGCTCAGCAAGTGATATAAAATTGCTTCGTTTGAACGGACCTATCCAAATGTGTAATAAATTTTAGTTCTTTCAATTTAAGAAAATTTTGTGTTTTAAAAGTACAAAGCATATTATTTTTTTTAGATGTCACGCGTCTTAACGGAGTTATCGACCGAGCCCGCACTAAATACTCACAAATTCCTCAAACCAGAACCCGCGATTAGGCTGGAATGTTTATGCTGTTATTATCATGCTCAGATTTCAGATTCAACGTTGATCATCCCACTTGACCGTATTATGTGTATTACTTTTTACCATTATTTTATTTAATATCTTGTAACGAAGCTATCAGCATTATATGATTAGTACGGCATCGGATGTTTTTTCAAATGATTTGTTGTTGGTAATATTATTATTACGATACAATATATGTGTGTTACGTAATTATACCATAAGTGCATCAGACATTGTTTTTGAAAGAATGCTAATGATAGAAAAAGATACTTTTTTCTTCGCCTTGAACGAGATACATATTTTAAATAATTATCCATGACATTGACCTCGGCGTATTACGGTCAAAGCACTATGTGTGTTATGCTATAATAGACCACAAATTATAATTACGCTTTTAGAACGTATTTATGAAATAAGTTGCAGTAATCATTATAGTAATCGCGAAATAAATTTTCGTAGTTGTCTGACGTCTTTCCAACTTTTCTATCTGGTTGAGCCGTGGTCACCCTACACTTTAAAAACAATGGTGAGATTTTAGTTTCCGAATGCGTTTTAAGTGTGTAATTCTGAAATGTATTGTGTGGTCCAGCAAGTATCTGGCTCCTATGAGGATCATAAAGAAACTTTGTTAATCCCTTTGCTAATCCCGCTGGTGCGAAAGGGTCCCGAGTCTGTCTGTTAGAGAAGAGTTATCGATCAGCATGGAGCATGTATTATGCAGTCGGGGCGCCAGTATCCTAAAAATGTGAGCTAAGTCTTATCTGGACCTTGTATCGAGACAGGGGTTCATGTGGAGAAAAGTACTTAGCCTTAGACTAGCTTTTTCCCAGCAGCTGCCGCTATTGACGAGACGTGTTTGCGCCAGTTCAAGTCCTCGGTGATCTAAACTTTGACCAGCCGAAATAAACAAATTAGAAAACACATTTAACGTGCACGTACATTGACGTGAAACGACGTGAAGAGAATCGCGATGACATGTAACATTTGCACGTGTCAAACGTGACACCGTTCTTCCCTTCCGACAGGGTTATTACGTGAAAAAAAATCGGCAAAATGTCAATTTGTGCACTTGGTAGCCCCTAGTGAGCCGGTGACAAATAGCGCAATCTGTTGGGCGAGTCTGCTACTCGCCAGAGCTTAATCGCTGATCTCTGCTTTTACGCGAACCACGGAGCACAAGCCGTCTGGCGGCATCTGTGAGGACCGTGACAGTGAATCGCCTTCTAGATCGACCTAAGTGATCTCCTACATTCTAGATATCGCTTTGTCGTATACCCGGTTTTTTCTCGAAGCTGTAATGGGGACTATATATAACTCGGCGGTCGGGAGATGGAAACAGAGAACTGAATACGGTAGAGTAGCAGAGCGGAGTTAGGTATAGTGTAATCAATGGTGGCATAAGAATTAGTTAGACATAAATATTGGTCTATATAAATGTTTTATCAAATTAAATAAATCAGTGCATTTCTTTTTGTGGAATTCAGTGTTTTAATCCACCCCCAAAAGAACCCAGAAAAACGCTACAATACGAACATGAAGTGAAATGTTATCTAGTTCAAAGATGACATTTTATAGGAAAACCTACATAATGTCAAAAAACATTCATAATGTCATAAAAAATACTTAATACGGGTGCCGTCGCTCAACTAACGGAACCAGCGGACAGCGAAGGAATTTCGTTCTCCGCCCCCCTTTCCCTACATAAGGGTTCAATAGAGTTGACATCAAAGATTGCTTGATTCAGACATATGTTCTCACGACTAATGTTTTTGAAGAGACATTGAAAATGGAGCAGGTGTTTGCCTGTTAGTGCTTTGGCGTTCGATAAGTTTTGACTTTCACGGATATCGAAAAAAGAAATACACAAAAATTAACAGAAACTTGTCTTCATGACGTGACTTGAAAAGCTCTCCTTGCATTGTATGTTCCTTAAAATGTGACAAAAATCAAGGAGCGATTTTTTCTACTATTCTGTTCTTTGACCATGTTGAAAATGTTACATCGTTTCGAAGGATACAGTACGAACAGAATTTCCAAAAATAGTTCATTTTATAATCAAAACCATATATGAAGTCTCTTAAGTTACAAAAGCAGTTCAAAATGGCTAGGTATCTTGAACTAGATCGCAAGACTCCAATTTCCTTGAAATAGACTGGGCAAATTTTTCAAATACATGAGGAAACTTCAATGCGATCGCCCGTGACTAAAAAAAATATGTAGATTGTTAGATAGGTCGAGAAAGTCGAATTGCTCAATCTCAGGAGCTTCTATGTTATTCGATATTTGGCCATCGATGTGAAATCTGGAAGAACTGTCAAATCGGATGTGATTCAATGAGAAATGATTTTGGGGTGTTACAAATGGTTCTCACTGATAAGAAATGTTTTGTTCAAAAGCTGTGTTCGGCCTCGAAGCAAAGCTGTTTTTCGAAAGTTATCAAAGAGCAAAATAGTTTTATAATAACCGGAGGAATCTCTTCTTTGATATGCGAATGTCTGGAAGCACCTTGTATATTTATTTTGCTTTGGGTCAGTTACCTTCAGACCATCTACGAACCAAATTACATTGATCAATTTCCGAGATTTTATTACACATATGCCTTTCTTAACACCGCAAGGTCTTCAACTATAATATTGCGCAGCGTATAAGTAGTGTGTAATTAAATTAACAACATTTGACCCCTCTTGCGTCCGTTGAAAATACCTACAAGACAATGATCCTACGATATCAAAAATACACATTTCATGCTCTTTTTCCATGTTCGTATCACGTACAATTACACCAAATCCAGCTTTTACCTCAGTTTGAAGTCCTTCATTGTTGAAAATATTAAACAAATCGTGTATTCATCGCAAAACAAAAGAAATTATCTTTGCGAATAGCGTCGTCGTTATCGTACTGACAGGAAAAACAAAATGAGTCCACAGCCTACTCTAGTCGCCAGTTCTATATTATATATCTCATCAGCAGCTTGATATTCTAATCCATTGATAATAGATTTGAAAAAATCAGGAATACAATCGTTGAGTCGGGTGTTTGAGTTGGAGTGTGTCAGTATAACGGGTGAAGCGACTTAGTGGTCTCTCTACTTTGCGAAGATGGCGAAAATTGTGTATGTTCCTGCAAGCCCAGCGGGTAAGTGTGCTTATTTTGATTTGATTATAAGACTTTTGGCCGCTTTCGCCCGATAAGGTTTTATTATTAACAGTCGTTGAGTAAAATGACTTCTGTTATTATTAGGGAAACTTGAGGTACGGTACTTAACATGCTTAACGATAATCAGGTGGGACTGTACTGCTGAATACGACCATTTATAGTGACAAAATTTCATAACACCCCATAAAAAAGGCTTAATGGTGGCAACGTTGCAAAATATATTTCCATTTGGTTATACTAATTTCATAATCACGTTCATGCACTGGGAAAACGTGGTTGAATAATTAGCTTTTCTGGAAAATTTTCATTTATCTAATGACTTTTTTAATTATTCGAAGTAACTAAATTATTCTGTTTAATAAAAGTGAATTTTCAGAAACCAGTTCAATTGAAAGTAATAAACTATTAAAATTATTTGCTCGAAAATAGCAAACCTGTTCAAATAAACTGTTTAATTGCCTTACATAACTTATTTTGAGAACAAAAGATACATTTTAAGCAATTAAATATTTCAATAAAAACGTTACACTGTTCGTTTCAATCGCGTACTCGGCCGGCCTCGTCCCTTCATTTGTCAATGACAGGTGAAGTGCCGGTGACGCACCTGGAACTCCTCAGTTTTATGTGAATTTCATGACTAAGTTCATGAATGTTGTTGTTCATTGAGTATATGGGGGAAGGGATGCCAGACCAATGATGTGCACCATTATGTCGCTTACGTGAAAAGTGTTCGCAGCTAAACAAAAGAAACATTTTGCCCAATCACCGAAAATCATATTTTTTGTCCCGATCTAATTTTCTATATTGTTTCGCTTATTCTGAATAAAATAGTGTGTGGTAAGCCTTCTGTAAAATTGAAACGCAAAAATGGCCATCTTCCGGGTGTTGACCATAAACTAAAAAATATATTTGGGGCCGCTGAGCGCCTCGATCAATGTTCAAGCGTTCCTCTACAAGATCCTTTTGCGAAACTTTAACTTGTTCTATTTTAGAACAATAATATTTTTAAAATAAATAAATTTCTGTTTTATTATTTTTAAGGAAGAAATGTCCAACCAACGCATCGTTCTTGCTGAAATTCTCCAGATTTTTTTAAAAAAATCAGAAAATTCAATAATGTAGTTTATAATGTCTTTATTAGAAAAATGTATTTAGCAATTTGGTACAGCATAACATTCGCAAGTTCTTGAATGAGTGAATTATGAAATTAGATGCATCCTGGCCACCGTAAGATGCCTGCGCATAGGCCACTTAAATGGGCCCTTGTACACTTCCACATTCCTAAGACCTCAAGCCTCGCCATTCTAGCAAAGTTGAGTATGCCCTTGAGTCCAAGCTCCTTAACGTTCTGGGGGTCCAAAGTGATGGACCCCAGTATAATCTGCCTGTGGTAGCGCAGAGCCCCACAGAGACAAAGAACGTGGGCCGAGGTCTTGTCCTCTACCCCGCAGCGCTCACACAAAGGATCCTCAGCCACCCCCATCACGAGCAGGTGGCGCCTTAACGTGTTATGTCCAGTCAACAGCTCCACCAGCTACCTTAGGTTGGCTCTATCCAAAGATAAGCAAAAACGTCCTTTCTAAGCGCTGATCCCTACAATGAGTTCCTGACCTAACTAAACCTGAAAATTTTAGCCTCCCTCACATGGCATTTGGGTCTGTTCCATTAAGTTAGGTTAAATTTGATGATTCTCTTCACTGAGTGTGTGATGATAGCTCAACGTAGCTTGATTCGTGCAATATAAAAATCAACGTATATTAATGAAAGTGATAGACATTTGGTCGACTTGAGACTAGCTACAATTCTAATTTCAATCCGATAATGTTTCCCTTTTTGTCTACACCGTGTGGGATGAGCGACTAATATGGTTACTAGGTTACCGACCATGAAAAAGATGAAAAAATGGCGTCATAAAGTTTGAATTTGCACTTCCCACGCAACGCTGTCATCAGTTTATGAAGGTCAGCAAATGTTAGCCTTTCTCAGCATCAAGTCTCCCGAATAGGCTCATACGTTTGACAACATTGCTATCTAGAAATTTGTCTACCGACAGTACTGACCATCCAGCAACGAGGCAACGTTGTTGTGTCAAATATTGGCACTCGCCGCCAGGGTCATTATCGGCAGTGTTGCCAGATGAAGTTAAAAGAAAATCATGTAAGCCGAAAAATGATAAATTTAATTTAAATAATATGTATATAGACATCGGGACCTCGGTTGGCCGCGTGGGTCAGAGTGTCGTGCTACTGATCAGCCGGCCGGCCGGGCCGCGAGTTCGAATCTCGCCTTCGCCATGGATGTTGTGTGTTTGTTTTAGGCAGCAGCGGTGGCCGCAGTAGTAGACTCTTCGGTCTCCTGATCAGTCGCCGTGCGCTGTGCGGGTTCGAGTCCCGTCCCAGGAGAAATGTTTCTCTTGGCCATGGATGTTGTGATTGTCCGTAGGTGGTAGATGGTCTCTGACTGTCGAACGCGGAGGTACCACCCGGCGGTTCTCGTAGGCGGAGCCAGAATGTGTGCATGTTGCATGCACACGTGTTCCCTCGCCAGAGTCCGTGTGGCGTCCCCCCTTTCCCATGTATCCCCCATAGCCCCACGGTACCCAATGGGTGCTTAGGCCTTAGGCCTTCGTGGTAGTTGGAGTATAAAAAAAAAAAAAAAAAAAAAAAAAAAAAAAAAAAAAAAAACGAGTATCAAAATACCATATTAAATAAATAAACTTTATTGTAAATATCAGAAACGAAAACAATATTAAAACGCAAGACACTAACTTAAAAAAGTAACATAAAGGTATATTCTTTTAAAATAATAAATAAAGTAAATACACAATTTGTACTCAAAACATTATGTTACCGTGTTACGAAGACTCTCAGTCGCTAGAGTCTTTATTTTCATGTTCGGCTAAATATAATAGGCTGCTATTGCCGAGTTTTCTGCTAATATTTTTGTTTAAAGTAAAATCGTAACATGTTTTATTTTCCATAAAACTTTTTGTATGCAAAAGACCTTCTATTGTTTTTGTTCTTAACGTATTGCGAAACTGTGTTTTAATCAGATTAATTTGGGAAAATATTCTCTCTACAGCCGCACTCGAATGAGGCAAACACATAATTTGAAAAACAAACTTAGTTAAAATAGGAAATTTTAGAGAATCTCCTATCTTTACTTGGGCAATTTCGCTCCGAAATTTTAAAATATCATTCTCAGTGTCATCCAGTGGGTAATTTTTTAGCAATCTCCATTCATTATCCAGATCCTGAATTTCATCAGGATGAATTAAATTTGGAAAAAACGACGCCACATCAGAAATAGTGTTCTTCTCTTTGGATTTCACACAAATGGGATCCAGAAACTTAAATTTTTCGATTACAGAATTCTTTAAGGGAAATCTGAGCAATATTTGCTTTGTACTTTCAACATAAAAATCCAAGCATTTCACTTTGACAGAATATAAAATGTTTCTGTCGATTTTACTTACATTAATTGATGCACCAAAGTATATATCATCAATTGTTAAAAAATTTCTCGGATTTTTATAATCAATTTCATACACCATGATGTTCTCTAAAATATCTCGTTTAAGTCCATTATGGTTTTTAACACACATGTCACTTCTTCATATACTTTATGTAGCTCTGCATTAAAAGGTTTAGCCGGTTAAATCAAGGTAATATATATGCCAAAAAATCAAGGTATAGTTTTGTCTCTGGTTTTTTTAAGTTTTTCTAAAATATTGTCGGCTTGCAACACTCCTTCATAAGCTTGCTCCGTAAAATAAAGGGTTAAGGCGTTATATTGTGAAATCAATATTTTGATAACCAATTCTAGGGAAAGCCATTTCGTTTGTGATGGATGGAGGATTTTGTGAGGCAACACATTTGCAAACTCTTGAAATTCTTTGTACTGATCAATTCTCTTTTGACTGTTTGAGAAAAAGTTATACACCTAAAACAGAAAATGTTTAAATTGAAAACATGTACACCAAAATTTACCAAGACTTACATCTCTTGCTAATTGTTCAACATCATTTGGCAGCTTTTGACATGCATACGATGCGCAAAGATGAAAGCTGTGGCAGATGCACTTAATCAAAAACAGATTGGGACATTTTTCCTTAAGCCTACTTGCTAAGGAATTATTAGCCCCCATCATATTGTTTGCGCCATCGGCAGCAAATCCGATAAGGTTTGTTTCATAAGCGACTTTATATGTTTTTTGAAAAAATCCTCAATCCGTTTCCTTCTTAACTGGTAAAAGGGTTAGAAAATAGTATTTTATTTCAAAATTAAGCACAACTCAGGCCACAAGGCACAAATGCTTCGAGCAGGACCTATCTTTTTCATCTCCTATTAAACTAAATTTATTTGTACATAGTATTTCTATTAGTTGCATTTTTCCCTCATCGCCGGTAACATTTCTTATTACGTTAGTCATTTTTGTACGACTACATTTGATAGCCTGCGCAATTTCAGAATCTGGGCAAATACTTTTAACTAAATTCGGAATATGTTCCATTAATCTTATTGGCAAGCTATGCTCCGCTATAAAACCAGCAAGACGCAAAACACTCTCTTTTGCCTTTTCGTCGATATTTTTGGATTTTTTGCCAAACATTGACGCCACAGATGGTTGCGATTTGATGGTTGATATTGACTTTATATGTTTGGCAGTGGTGGTGTGCTTTTTAATTTCTCCTTTGCCCCTCGCAATAAGGATATCGCAACTGCAGAATTTGCACCTAAAATATTATAAAGTTAAATTATTTTAAAGTTACAAAATCATACAACAAACTATCATACCACGCGTAAGTTGGACCTTTCTTACTTGACTGGAGCCACTTCCGCTCTTTTTCCCAGTCTCTTTTGTATTTCTGCGCATAATCCGCACTTTATAGTTTTTTTTAGGCGTACTAACACTGCTAACATCTTTTATTTCTTGCATCGGCACATCACTCTCACTATCAGGAGTATCACACATTTTAAATACGATTTATAATAAAATACTAGATGGAAGTATCAGTAAGCAAAATGCACAAGTTAAAACAAGTAGTGAATGCAAACTGACAACGTACGACGTGATCAACATGAACCGGCTCTACGGGATTCCCCGAATTAATCGTCAGTGCCGCCAATTGATAAATCGCGTGAAAGCGTACAACTTTCCTATATAAACATGAATAAGTGGAGTTGATACATTGATTTGGGTGCTGTTGGCATTTTAAATAAGTAAAAGTAATTATTTTTTTATAAAATCTCAAAAATCGTAAGAATTGGCACTTCATTCGTGTAATCGTGTAAAAAGGACCGAAATCGTGTAATTACACGATTAATCGTGTAATCTCGCAACATTGATTATTGGTCACATATCGGCCAGCCCTCGAAGCGTGTAGATGTACGTTCACAGAGTAGCGTGAAACACGTATATTGAAAATGTAGCTCCATCATTTCAAATCACGTTTTAAGGGTAAATGTGCGGGAGAATCTATGACGTATGAGATATGTCTAATAGGTGCGTCGAATTGCCGGATTCGTTCACAGTACGCCAATGTATAGAATAAGTTCCCGCTGTCACGATTTCCTCACAAAGAATCTGGCAACGCCGCATGGCAGCCACACATCGCAGCGAACAGTCCGCAACGCGGATACGTATACGCGTGTGTTGAAAATATTTCTATCATTGTAAGTTCTAAGGGGGAAACGTAGATGCGGGGAAATCAGTCATAAGTTTATTTTGTTTTTTGTTCCTAACCTCTCCGTCAGTATGTTCAAAAACTATGAAGCTTTTTTGTCCTTGGCATAATAGTAACCTTGTGTGGAAATTTCACCAAAATACGAACGGTACTTTCCCACGAAATACCGAACAAAGTGCCATCTATTACCAGAATGGACCACTGCGAGAGTCAGTGACATGGATGTCAAAAACGAACTGATACCTTTACGATTCCAACTGATAGCTGCTGTTCTATATAGGGTATTCCAATAATATTCTATAGATTTGTTTTTGAGGCAAAATTGTGACAGAGTAGTTTTGGACTTTTACGGAACGTCGTACTTGAATAAACCTAAGAACTTATGGTTCGATTGTGTTTGAGCATTTCAGACAGACTCAATCATCCTTTTGTATAATGACCGTAGTTAACTATTGTTGTAAGATGGAGTAAACTGCCCATTTCGTGCTTTAGTATCTACTATAACGACTCGTGAAAATGAAATCTAATATGTAGGTAGAAACCAGTGTGAGTAGATTGTCGGTCGTCTCTGGTAGATTAAGAGAATTGCATGAGAAGCACAGAGCCAACCTACTGAACGACATTTTTTGTCATTGTCATTCTCAGATTTTGATGATGCACCTATGTTTGCGATACATCATGTTACCCAACCGTATTTTGGCCACGTAACGTCTATTTAAAGCAATTCGATCGCCAACTAGAAATGACGTGGGTAAACGAAAGTCAAAATTACCATACAATATCCATACAGATCTACAACTACCTTATCGAGTACAACAGTCGCTAAAAAACGAAAAACCGAAAATACGTGAATGTTTCGTGGAAATTCCAAATCCTCGTATAATCCAAGATGTTTTCGAGAAAAAGTAAAAAGGTCGATAAGCCTGAGAAGACGTATGTTACCCTACCGAGGATGGTGTATAAGATTATACCGGAATCACGTAAGTGCAGTCTTTCCTTAAACTTCTTAGGTGAAACCAAAATAAGTATAGTTACTCTACAGGGCCTAATATAAATGGTCAACATTTGTTCATAGATGCAAATTCGACAGGTTATATGTACATTAATAAAGTGACAAATCTAATCAAAATTTGAAAACATGGACTAACTAATTTATACCTAACAATTTGCATCTATACAGAGTGGACAAAGAATTGGAATAGATCAGAAGGACCCAAAGCTATATGTTTACGTAACAGTGCTTGTGGCCAAGTATCGCTCCACAATTATCTGCAAGCGCTCGCGCTTTTAAAAGGTAACACTGAAAATACGAATTTAGCGCTAAACAAAAAATTAACTTATGTCTAGTCCACTTGCATGCACTCTCATACAGGCAGAGACAAACAAATCGTGAGCTTGCTCCTTGTAGCTAGTCTGAATTCATTATTTTGATTCGTCTACTAAGTAAAAGATGGCTACCAAAGTTACAAACCAGCACACCGGCGTGATTCTTTTCGTTGGAAAAAATTCAACTAGCTAGTTGTGCTGGATGTAAGTAAATCATAATCAACGGTACATCATATGTACAATGTAATGTTGGAATGTTAAAATTGCCTTCAAACAGCAACAATGGCGAAATACCTGATATTCTAAATAGTAGGGCACCTTGCTTGAACTCCATCCGGTTTTTCTTAATAATGTTAATGTTGTATGTGCTCTAAGAAGATCCTTGACTGAAAAGTAAATATAATATAATATGGAAATTATATCATTGTCGTTATATTAATTCAATGTGTAGGTTCAGAATCAATTTAAATTAATAGATATTTTGGACCTACTGTGGTAAATTAACAAAATCTTGTGGCGCCATCGCATCAAAAAAGTCAAACTAATATTTGTAGCATGAAAGCTTTTAGTTTTAAATTCAAAACAAAAGTAGTTTCCCTTTTTAGGATCCATGATGAATTCTGTCACCAATTCTTTGCATTTCTAAATGTTGTGTTAGATATGAACCAGTTATAGCAAAGCTTAGATTGAGACTCAGCATTCAAAAAATAGCTGGACTGAAAAAAAATTAATGGTCACAACCCTCCAGGTAGCCTAACGTTAAGGCACTGACCCTTTTTCAGTGCCGATTACTATCCTATAGCAACACTCTCCAATAAAAATCTGCTTTTAATGAACTTAAACTGCACATAAAAAAGAAATTTCGTGATCCAACAACATGGAAATTATGACATTGATTCTAGAACACAGAAACTTTTCAATCATTCATTATTCCAAAAAAATATAGCCCTTACAATTGAGAAATGGATCTTAGTTTAAAAACATACCATGTGTTTCAAACTCGACCCTCGCCAATTGGATCTCGGAAACAGAGATACAAAATGGCTTAAATAGGGGCAAAATTGCGTATTTAGGTGACTATCAAGGTGCTTCTTACAAGGTTTTAAAATTCAAAGTACTCAAAAAACAGAATTTTCCCAAAATCGTTTTAAATTTTTCCTGACTTTATTTGTAGTGGGATTTCAAAATAAATTGCACATAAACGTTGCTACTTATTTCTCTCTATAAGATGGTATAATTAGAATTTCAACATTTCTCGTCACTATCCCTCCAGCATCAACTTTATTTTTTCTAACGGACGCCATATTGGATTTTTGCGTAATTATGATTCCTAAAATATATAATGTCATACATGGACAATTGGTCATTGCCAAACCTGTTATTTAAAAACACAGAATTTCCTAGGTAGACCTTGAAATTTGTATTGAAAAATCGTTGTTTATTTCCCGGTTTTATTTGAAATGGGATTTTAAAAGAAATTGCCTATTAGCATTGCCACTCCTCCTCCTTTCAAAGAGGGCGTAGTCAAATTCTCCATTAGACGTCCAACCTCAACTTTGCGTTTGTCTTACGGAAAGCTTATTGAAATGCTGCATTTAGTTATGAATTTAATACACTTATTTATGTCACGATAAGCTTCACATATTTAATTAAAGTAATATTCATTCTTAGTAATATTTAGATGTACAAAGTTCCAATATAGCGTCCATGTGAAAAGACAGAGTTGGTGATGGAAGTCGAAAGAAGGAACCTCAAATTGAAAATTTGAACATGCCATCTTGCAGGGTAGAAAAAATGTTATCCACAACATGCAATTTATTCCGACATCGCATCTCAAATACAGTCAGGAAAGAATAAAAATGATTTTGTGATAAATCTGGTATAAGAAACAAATTATGTAGACCTACCTGGAAAATTATTTTTTATTCGTTTTTAGAATCATAATTAAAAACTCTATTCATCTATGTAAAAATTAGCAATGTTAATGTGCAATTTATTTTTAAATCCCACTACAAATAGAACTAGAAAAAAAATAAAGCGATTTTGGGAAAATTTGTTTTTTTCCGGAAGTACTTTAGATGTTAAAAAACTTTGACCTCATTTAAACGACTTCGTATCTCTTACCGTGTCTGAGTTCCCAATGGTGAGGGTCTTGATCCAAGAGCACTTTTCGTTGTGTGTGCGTCTTGCAACCCACCCGCTCTTTCTACTTAGTTCGTTGATCTACACCGAAACCCGAAACATACTGACTTTTAACGATATTGTACAATTACTCTTCCGTACTGAATTGAATCCAATTCGAATGATGTGAATAGATTTCGGATTTTGATGGCTAAAGTCGTACAACAGAAAACCCAGCGGGTAAATATGGTTGCCGCCATTGTCATCTCATTATCGTCCAAAGTAATGTAACAAATTTTAACCACATATGCACTGTTACGAAGAAAGAAAAAATGTAATAAAAATCCTACAGAAATTAAGTTATAAACCTGAGTTTCAATAATAAATTGAAAAATAAATACTTATCTGTATTTTGCGTTCATCCTCGTGATATTAGAACACGCATTAATCATTTATTGTAGCAAACGTGTAACGGTGGATTTTTGTGAAGTTGAATGAGAAAGTATTTTGCGATTTTATGTTTTTAGTTGTTTATTAATAAAAATGGCACATGTGTACACTAATGAGGAGTTAGTACACATTGTTTTAGCGTACGGAGAAGCAGGGCAAAATTCGCGAGCGGCATCTCGTTTGTATGCACACCGATTTCCGAATAGGTACAGACCACATCACGAAACATTTAGACCAATTCGTTTACGTGCACGTGGAGATTTGCCTCCCAGACGTGGAATGGATTTTATTATCTCGATTTCTGTAGGTCTTTTATTAAATTTTTTTTTTGAGACATCAGCTTTTTTCTTGACAGTGCATATGTGGTTAAAATTTGTCGTATAAGTTGTGAAACGCCCTGTATATATATATATATAGGGTGTGCCATCTTTTATCTCGGTATGTAAACAT